GGGTCAGCGCGCGCGGGCGCTGCAGCGCCCTCCCGCGTCGGCCCGACGCGACGGCGAGGAAGGGCGCGAAGTTGGCTGCGGCGGTTTGCGCGGCTTACACGACAACGCCCCGGGCGCCGGGGGCTCCGACGGGTCGACTCGTCCGCGGGAGCCTGTCGGAAAAGATTTACAGGCCGAAACCGGAACCTTCACCGTGTACTCCTAATTTTGGTTTTCCTCTCTGTGCGCTGGAGTTTACAGAGTCTGAAGATGCGCGTAAGCTTCATTACTGACTTGGATTGCGATATCAATATTGATTTTGAATATAATTCACGTTTGCGTTGATTGGTGAAACATGAAAAGACATAATTCACGTTTGCCGTTCAAAGAAAAACATAAAGAAATGCAAACAGAATGAATAAAAAAATTAATATAATTCACGTTTGCACTATTGAATGAGTTGATTTAATTGAGGTCAGATATGGTTGCAGCAAGAATATTAATTAAAATGAGTTTGGTTATAGAGTTAAATTTGAATAGTGAATGCTTAAAAAAATAATAATTAATTAATTGCGAATTCTTCAGCCACTTGGTTGTTTGTCATTCACCCCACTTAGGATGAATTGATTGAATAGATTATTGTGGGATACGCAAGAACAAATTCTCGCTATAGTGGGGGGGAATCACGCTTGACAAAAACATTTCTTCATGTAATATTATACTTCACAAAAAAAAGTATGCGATGTGACTACCTACTCATTCACCCTACTTGTATTATCACCACTCACCATTGAAACTTGAACGTTTCAGAGAAAAAAATACAAGAAATAAATTAATTAACAGTAGAACAGAGTTGAAAACTCTGCAGCTTAACTTGTTGTTTGTTGCTCTGCATATTGAAAGTTACTCCAGTTTTCATTGGTTGTTGACGTGTCGAAAGAAAATGATGGGAGGAAAACTATAAATAGTTGAGACCGACTAGTTAAGCCTCAGAAGCCAGCATTGGCGCTGTCTGTTGTGTAAGCAACTTCCACAAGAATAGTTCATTAGCGGTTCGAATCCGGAGCGGTGGACGGATGAGGAGAATTCTAGCGCCTGTTTTTTGAAAAATTCGCGAAGATGCCATAGCAGCTTACCCTAGCAAACGTTGCACGAATCACGCGCGGATCCTTCCTTTCCTTTTTCCTATTCCTAGTATTCTCCCTTACACCCACACTTTACATGCGGCTACAGCCACCACCACATCTCGCGGAGACCAGTGCAAAGAGCTGGAAGCGTTTGGAACGATGTCTCGCTGGGGGAGATTACCGTAAGGGGAAATTCCCCGCAAGGTAGAGTCTGTAAGGTCGGCCACCTAATGACAAAACGTGCAAAGCCAAGGGGAGGCCCCCACGGACTAATTACTATAGCAAGATGAAACGTGCCAGGCAAACTTCAAAATCTGCAAATGATGAGGAAGGGTAAACAATAAGCGACTGAGGGAGAAATTTCTATCTTTTCATAGCAGGCACCACTCGAGGAGGGGTAAAAGCAGATGGAACGGCAAAACACCAAGCGCGTTTCTCGCTTCTCCGCATCTCCGCTGTCGCACGCACGGACGAGATTCGTTTCCCTCCCCCCCAAACTCCTTTCGCGCGAAATACAAATTCACAGAACGGCTTTCCCCAAAACTCCTTTGGCAAACTTTTCGTTTAAGCTTCCGGGAGGTGGCGCGATAAGAGCGAAAGTTCGAAAGGGACAGCTGGGGGGTTCCCCCGTGTTCGTTCGGCAGGGCGATTTTGGGAAGTTTTCGATTTTATTCTTTTCGTTCGGGAGTTTGATTAAAGTAAAAGGATCAGAAGGGAGTGTTATTGAGGTTAGATGGGGAAACAGGGTTATTGTTCAACTTTCTGTTCTTACAAAAAAATTATAAGTGAAATAGTTTGTATACAATTTACGCAAAAGCCGTTTTACATTCTAGCTTAGGCATCTTAATAAATTAGACAATCTCTCTTCGCAGCCGGCGGCGGCAATCTGCGAGAGTGTCAGCGGCGCGGCGCGCGCGCCCTCCCGCCCTCGGCCGACGCGACGGCGAGGGAAGGGCGGCGAAGTTGGCTGCGGCGGTGGCGCGGGCTTACACGACAACGCCCCGGGCGCCGGGGCTCCGACGGGTCGACTCGTCCGCGGGGAGCCTGTCGGAAGATTACAGGCCGGAACCGGAGACCTTCACCGTGTACTCCTAATTTGGGTTTTCCTCTCTGTGCGCTGGAGTTTGACTCTGAAGATGGGTTTGAGTCTGAAGATGGGTAAGCTTCATTACTGACTTGGATTGCGATATCAATATTGATTTTGAATATAATTCACGTTTGCGTTGTTGGTGAAACATGAAAAGGACATAATTCACGTTTTCGTTCAAAGAATGAAACATGAAAGAATGCAAACAGAATGAATAAAAACATTAATATAATTCACGTTTGCACTATTGAATGATTGATTTAATGAGGTCAGATATGTGTTGAGCAAGAATATTAATTATTGTGTTTTTAATAGGTTAAATTTAATAGTGATGCTAAAAAATAATAATTAAATAATTGCGAATTTTCAGCACTTGGTTTTTGTCATTCACCCACTTAGATGATTGTGAATAGATTATTGTGTGGATACGCAGAACAAATTCTGCTAGTAGGTGGGGGGGGGGGAATCACGCTTGACAAAACATTCTTCATGTAATATATACTTTCACAAAAATTATGCGATGTGACTACCTACTCAATTCACCCTACTTGTATTATCACCACTCACCATTGAACTTAGAACGTTTCAGAGAAAAAATACAAGAAATAAATTAATTACAGAGGAACAGAGTTGGAAACTCTGCCACTTAACTTGTGTTTTTTGCTCTGCATATAAAGTTACTCCAGTTTGTCATTGGTTGTTGACGTGTCGAAAGAAATGATGGATGAAACTGATAAATAGTGAGACCGACTGAGTTAAGCTCAGAGCCAGCATTGGCGCTGTCTTTGTAGCAACTTCCACAAAAATATCATAGGGTTCGAATCCGGACGGTGACGGATGAGGAGAATTCTAGCGCCTGTTTGAAAAATTCTGCGAATGCCATAGCAGTACCCTAGCAAACGTGCCACGAATCACGCGCGATCCTTCCTTTCCTTTTCCTATTCCTGTATTCTCTCCTTACACACACTTACATGCGCTACACCACCACACATCTCGGGAGACCAGTTGCAAGAGCTTGAAGCGTTTGGAACGATGTCTCGCTGGGGAGATACCTGTAAGGGGAAATTCCCCGCAAGGTAGAGTCTGTAGGTCGGCACCTAATGACAACTAGCAGCCAGGGGAGGCCCTCCACGGGACTAATTACTATAGCAGATGACGTGCCAGGCAACTTCAATCTGCAAATGATGAGGAAGGTAACAATAGCGACGGAGGAGAATTTCTATCTCATAGCAGCACTCACTCCGAGGAGGGTAAGCAGATGACGGCAAACACAAAGCGCGTCTCGCTTCTCCGCATCTCCGCTGTCGCACCCACGGACGAGATTCGTCCTCCCCCCCAACTCCTTTCGCGCGGAAACTACATTCACAGAACGCTTCCCAACTCCTTTGCAACTTTCGTAGCTCCGGAGGTGCGCGATAAGAGGCGAAAGTTCGAAGACAGCTGGGTCCCCCGATGTCTTCGGCAGGCGATTTGGAAGTTCGATTTATCTTCGTTCGGAGTTTGATTAGTAGATCAGAAGGAGTGTATGAGTTAGAGTGGGAAACAGGGTATGTCAACTTTCTGTTCTACAAAAATATAAGTGAAATATTGTATTACAATTACGCAAAGCCGTTTTACGATCTAGCTTTAGGATCTTAAATAAATAAAGACAGTAATGAAAAAATTTATGTCGCCACGTCTGTGGCATACAAATATATAAATTTTGTTGTGAACATGCTTCATATTGCAGGTTTGTGCAAATGCTTTCTTAGTAAGTGTAATAATGAAATCTGTTTTTTATTCTATTTTTGTTTCTTGAATTTGAAAATTGAATCTTCCTATAGAACTAGCATTTGTTGCGAAACGTTTTCTTTACCTGAACAAATTCTAGAAATTTGATAATACCTTATTTTATTAATTGAATAAATTATTTCTCTTGTTCTTTTGAATGGAAATGTTAACACAGCATTTATGTTAATCGATTTACTGTAAATTTCTGTTGTCTTTTCTATATTTCTATTAATATTATGTAAAAGCAAGAAATTATTGAAACAATTCCTATACCTGTGATAAAATAATTTGACAACGCTAAACTATATTATTATATGAAGCGCGCATAGATGTGTTTTTGTTTGTATGCAATTTGGTAGGTTCAGGCAATGTTTCCTTCTTCCAGAATGCTTAACTAAAGTAGACCATAAAAAGGTTTGGATAGTGAAGTCGTCTGAAACTATTTTCTCTTAAGTGATAAATGATGACTCTCAGTCAAATACGCCTTATTTAATTCCTAAAACAGTTGTAAAGGAACATCATGAGCTCTACCACTTGCGTATGCCCAAAAATCTTCTTCTTTTACTCCCATTCATTAATTAGTGCGTAGGGTAATCTACAGAAGCTCCTAGCGCCTTCTTGTAAGACTTACACTGAGCAAATAAAATTAAGGCAATTTGCCATTGCTTTCCCCTAGGGGCGCTAGTGCGCCAATTTTGACGTTTAATTTGAATACCAGATAGCTCAGGTCACGATACAGTATCCGCAAACTTATGCAGTAATTCAAATTTAAATTCTGATTGGTGCTGCGTTGCTAGAGGATTTAATTTTGCAAGGGCCGGCCAAGTGCCTTTTCTGGGATATGTTTTGCATGCTGACAAGCGCCCCCATGCATGGCACCTCAAAACCTTTGACCGGGATTGAACCCGCGAACTTGGGATCAGTACCGCGGCCTGATAACCACTATACCATGAAAGCCGGCATCCCCAATGAATTTGTTTTAATTTTTTTCCTTTGTTAGCTCGAGATAATAGCTGTATGTGTGTGTGTGCTGTCAGGACCAGACCGTGCCGTGCGCCGACGAGCTCAACCTGTACTCGCTGGCCTTCGACGACTTCTCGCTGTCGGACGACGACATGGTGCTGGCGGCCGTCGCCATGTTCCTCGACCTGGGCGTCGTCAAGCGCTTCTGCATCGAGCGCGAGGTGAGCGCCGGCGTCGTCTTTCCGAAGCAACGGGCTCTTTTACAACACTCGCAATGTCTTGACCTGATGTCGCTTGTGACGCATGAATCATCGGCGTTAATAAACAGACGTTTCAAACAACGACTCTTCTACGGAAACTTCCAGGTTTAAACATCGATGTTTCTACAAAAAATCGATGTTTTGAAAACATCGACATCGATATCGATCGTTTTTGTAGAAACATCGATGTTTTAAACATGGTAGTTTTCGTAAAAGCGTCGGTGTTTGAAACGTCGGTTTGTTAACGCCGATGATTTTTAACATTGATGTTTTGTGCTCCATGTTTGTTTTCCTATGTTTTGTTTGTGAATGAAATGTTCAAACGATCACAATAGTGGTTTTTTTTATTATTTAAGGTCGCATCAACTTCTAGGTCATTAGCGACCACTATTGCTTGTAACTGTGGGATGACACGATATGATGATGATAGAGGTGAAAGGACGAACACAATACAATCATGCCCGAGGTGGGACTCGAATCCGCGATCCTTCGGTCCGAGATCGCTACGGAACTACTACTTTCGCGATCTCGGCCACCGGATCGGCGATCACAATAGTGTAAAAGTTCCAATATGAAATAATATCTTATGATAATGCTTAGTGCATGTGTTGGAAGCAAAGGAACGTTTTTTGTACTACCTCTTCCAACCAAAATCTCGCCCAAGGTGACTTTCGTACCCTTGTATTTCCTCTTTTTTCGCGTTCATTTCGCACATTGAGATGTGGTCAACAAATTCGCTGTGGGAATAGGGTACGCCCCTTCTCCTATTTTGGCGAATTGATTGACGAATTCAATTTTCATCCAACGAATTCAATGTTAGAGGTTACTAAACCAGTCTAAAACATCGATGGTTTTTAGACGATGTATTTTGAAAACGATGTTTTAATTTTGAACACAGATATATTTATCGATGGCGCATCACTATTAGGACGTGACTGGTGTTAGAACAGTATTATTTAACTTTGCACACAGTGAATTATCTTAAACTTCATTTCATAGCGTAGGACAGTAGGACTTTACATCAATATGTTGGAAATGGATGCCTTTTTTAGTAAACAGTAGCGTGAGCGTCTAATATTTTGCGCCTATGAACAAAAGAAACATTTCATGAAGTAACACTTCTATATCGGAAAAGGCGTATTTATTTTCATAATTGGCGATAAATGTTAATTACACAGACATTATGAAAAAAGTTAATTACATATGTAAATCACTCGTGGGAAGACCTAATTTGAATGAGATGACATTTGAGTGAGATGAGATGTTTGTGCATACAAATTCAAAGTATCGGAAAGAATATAGATAAATCAGAAAGTAAGGTAATAACATTAACAGTTCAATAGAAGATAATTGTAATTCAGGTAATTGTAATGATTATTTCGAATTACAGATGTGGGTAAATATAAAGAACAAATAATATAAGAAAAGAAATTCAGCCGCCCATATCGGCAATAAAATCTCCAAGTTCGCTTAACTTTCCTTCTCGAAATATTTTTGTTTATAAAACGTTAAAGAGACCTTCATTATGTTGGAATATTTTACCACAGCAGACCCATAACCTTGGGGCGTGTGCGCGAGTAATTACAAGAGTCAACATTAAACAACCACCGTTTACTTTCCACCGTCTCGGCGCTTTAAGCAGAGAATCCACAAACGTTGGACGAAGCTCCAGGAAAACAGAGACTTGCATCTCCCGCAGTCCCCCTAACGTGTCGTGGGCGGAAACAATGTTTTCGCGATTTCCCGCCGAGGGCATTCGCCTTGAGAATGCGGCCGAGACAATTGAAAGGAGCGCGGGCGAAAGCTGCGGGAGGAGGGGGGGAGGGGGGTGTTGCGCCGGGAGCGCGGGTGGGAATTCCATTAAAACTTGGACGCCCCCAGCGCGGTAATTGGGTGAGATGCGCCCTTCATACCCTTGGCCCATCCGCCCGCTGCCCCCCCCGTCCCTGCCACTACCTGCGCACGTCCCATCGGCCGGCGACACGCCCTTAGGGCCGAAGGCAAAGGAAAGTAGTTGATTTTGATGCAGTTTGTCTATTTAAGTTATGCCGACGTCTGTTCGCAGGCTATGACAGCGCGGTCCAGGGTCGGATTTACCTACAAGAGAAATAAAGAGTAGCCTATAAATGGCCGCGCATACCGAACAAATATCCATAAAATATTTTTTTAAATGTGGAAATAAATGTGCGTATCTGCAAAATATTTTAATAAAATACAATACCTACATGAGACCCTGACTCGGTTAGGCACCGTGGTCTTCTTGTCCTTTGTGGCTTGTACCTGAAGCAGACTCTTGTAGGTACAATAATCAATAATTCTTTTCTCATCGTAGTTAAGAAGGAAAAAGAGAAACACTCGTCATGGCTGTCACCTCTCAAATGTTCACACAATTGTCACCAATCTAATGTAGACATTTGTCTGCGATGATGTATTTGATATATTGAAATAATTGACGATTCTTTCAGTTACGTATAGGATGTGCGTAATGTATGTACGAAGTTTAAATAATCAGGAAAATTTATTTTTATGTTTATTATCGTTACGTGTTAATTTTCACTTGCTTTATAATGAGCAAAGACTATAAATTATTACATTTTCTAAGTTTATTTGTGGAAATGTCACAGATTAAAACTGCTATTTTTACTTTCTTTTAAAATGTACACTGTCAGATAAATTTACTTACTTTTACATATGCATCCATTAAATTAAATTACTAGGAACTCCGCTTCACATTGTACACCACCCTTGTGATCAGAACCCTCATAATTATATTTCCTGGGACATTCGCCTTCAATTTTCCAGGAATACTCGCAGACTTCAGAGTTACAGGAATTCCAGCTATTCGTACTACTTCTTGGAAGTTATTGAAGTATCAGTTAGTTTTCCCTACACATTCCCCTTAACGCATTTATTCCCTTTGAAAATGTAGTCAGGCATTAAAAAGCTATGTTTTGAAAGACAAATGTTTTTTTTACGAAGTAATGTAAACACATTCATCAAATTCGCTGCCATTTCATTTCTGTCATCGTGTTACATTTCCGATCCTTGTTTCCACTTACATGAATAAACAATGATTATTTTAAATGCAATCAGATTCCATTTTCGTGATTTGTTTTTCGTTTTTTGTTCATTTCTTTACACATTAATTAATTTAACATTAATTAATGTGTAAAGAAATGAATGTGTAACGTTAATTTAAATTTTGTTGTTTTTAAATTTTTTCGAACATTTTAAAATTATATAAATGTTAAGTCGTCATCAGTATTATAGAAGTTATCGCAGGCCATGTACAATTTAATAAAAAAACGCGTAGAATCCACAAAAGTCTCAGATATCATTGAAAATCTGTGCCGCTTATTTCCCTTGGAAACGACAAACTGGCCCGTAGTTTGGCTATCAATTACAGCTGAAATACGCGGTCCCGCCCTAAGCCTTTGACCTCACAATTACCCTTCGTCGAGCGCTGAGAGGTTTCAAGAGCTTGTCCCCTAGCGCGCAATTCCTGGAACTGTCTCGGGCCGTCAAAGCACCGCTATTGGCCGAGCAATAGAGCACAGTGTGAGTTACATCACTAGCAGATGAGGCAAACACGGACCGTTGGATAATTTCATCTCTTTGCATGGAATTTCCAGCACATTTATTCGTACAAGACAATGGTTTGTTGTGTTCTGTGACCTCACGCTGAATGCTGATTTATTAGAAAGTTTTATGGTTTGCGATGCCTCTACTGCAAAGTATTACCTTTCAGAGTCCTAAAAGTATATGGTCCATTCCAAGTGCAGTATGAAACAATAAATCCGCGGCGCGTAAAAAAGGGAAAGAACACTGTCCTCGAAATTGAGTTGGCTTTTATGAGAATCTGTGGAGGCGCGTATTGCATGAATTACCAACTCAAGATGAAAGGCTGATTTCTTAATGTCTGGTACTATTTAATTCTTGTGACAAAATCCCATATGATGTCAGATATATTTAACTTCCAAAATCCTCAAATCAGTGACTTCGAAGTAACAAATTCTTCAAATCAAATTAGTGTAACTTCTAACAGTGTCAGTGTGTGTGTGTGTGTGTGTGTGTGTGTGTGTGTGTGTCATTTCTCACCTTCGCCATGAACTGCTGAGGTGTCGTCATCGCTTGTAACAAGGTTACATCACAAGTAACACTTGTTTGTTTTTTTTTAAATTCCATCATAGGTGTAATTATTCTCATATTAAGATGCTACTAGAAATTCTTCCTGAACACAGCGATTCTATTTTATATTTTGTGTAGGTTTCGACATCTTTGCAATGTCAACATTTACTCTATTTTTATCGCACCATCTTTTTCCTTTTTACACGGACTTCAGATACAGAAAAAACATTAAAGTTATTTTATCTGCATTATCTGCATTTCACAGAGAGTAGATTAAGTTCAATTATAAACAAATTCAACTGATTCTCGTTTAGAAAATTCTTGAATTTACAATAATTGTCCGAATGTAAAAAAAATAAAATAAGTCACAAGTTTAAGTGGCTCAGGTCATCAATTTCAATGCCTATGACGTTGAGGCCATAGGATTCGGGACCCGACGGCGCCATTGACAGACTGGTTGATTCGTGTTTCCGAGCGCATCAACTGCGAAGGCCAATGGTCCCGTAAGCATAGTGCATGGTGTTTTATCGCGGAAGGTGCGGGTGATTTACCCCGCTGGCTGGCACGATCCAGCGCGGACCTACATCTGCATCCAGGGGGGCACCGCCCCAGACGGGACGAGTTCTAAACTCCCGACTGGTCTCTCAACAAGTGAGGTAGTGTAGTGTGTGTAAGTGTGTGTAAGGGGTGAGAATAGGATAAGTAAGAGGAAGGAAATATCGCGCGCGGTCCATGGCCGGGGAATCGGGAGCGAAAGGTCGCAGGTTCAAGTTCCGCATTGGCCGCATATATTTATTCATGTTTTGGGTTGGGGACTCCGCCAACAACCTTAT